AGGATTTTACACTCCTTTTTTTACTTTCTTTATTTTTTTTACTTTTTTTTCGAAAATTTTCTGTCTTCGAAAATTTGCCGCCCCCTCCAATTTGCCGCCCTAGGCAAATGCCTATGTTTGCCTCTAGTGTTAATCCGTCGCTGACTAGCACACGCTCATTACTCTACTCTTACCGTTCGACTTCCCTTATCCCCCATCCAAAAGAAAATTGGAAAGCCCTTTTTCCTTCCCTTCCTTCTTTTTCCTTTCCTTTCTTTCCTTCTTTTCCATCCTACCTCCTCCTAATCATTCTCCCGTGCTACTGCTTTTCATCTCTTCTTCTACGTTATCCTCATCCTTGTTCACGTCAATCTTATTTGAATTTTCTTTCCTGTATAACTTCTTCTCTCTGCCCTCCTCCACTTGTCCTTCATTTCCTCGCTTCACTCACTATCCCGTCATTCTTTTCCCTCATTTTTTCCGCCTTCCTCCGCCTTTCACATACTTCTTTCCCACTTTCCTTCACGATTCACAATCCTGCTTATCCTTCCCGTCTGCCATTTCCCCCCCTCTATTATTATTAATATTATTTAATAGTAATATATTTTTCAATTTTTCTAACCAGCTGTGGTCTCCAAATACACTAGCACACAAATATGTTTATTTCTATGTAAATATAAATTTAACATATATAAGATAGGCAATAAGAGCCAAATCGCGGATGACAGTGCGTTATTCTAAACGAAACTAAATTTTTTCGTTAGAATTAAATACCTGTGCACAAGGCACCAAATTTTTACTTGGACACGGCCAAGATATAAAATTGGAATAATCTCTACAAGAGATTTTTAATTCCATGTATCCCCTATTCCCCCTAAAGAAATAAAGTGCGAGAGAAAAATATAGATCCGAAAGTCGCAGAATCGGGAATCGAACCCGAGACCTTTCGCTTGCCGGGCGACTGCTCTTCCAACTGAGCTATTCAGATCCTTTCGATTCTATACTTTTCTCTGTTATATATATTAATGTTGGTAAATAAACGCCTTTAAGCCAGCGTGTATAAATTAAGAGTTTAACTAGGCTCTGTAATATATAAATATAAATTTAACATATATAAGATAGGCAATAAGAGCCAAATCGCGGATGACAGTGCGTTATTCTAAACGAAACTAAATTTTTTCGTTAGAATTAAATACCTGTGCACAAGGCACCAAATTTTTACTTGGACACGGCCAAGATATAAAATTGGAATAATCTCTACAAGAGATTTTTAATTCCATGTATCCCCTATTCCCCCTAAAGAAATAAAGTGCGAGAGAAAAATATAGATCCGAAAGTCGCAGAATCGGGAATCGAACCCGAGACCTTTCGCTTGCCGGGCGACTGCTCTTCCAACTGAGCTATTCAGATCCTTTCGATTCTATACTTTTCTCTGTTATATATATTAATGTTGGTAAATAAACGCCTTTAAGCCAGCGTGTATAAATTAAGAGTTTAACTAGGCTCTGTAATATATAAATATAAATTTAACATATATAAGATAGGCAATAAGAGCCAAATCGCGGATGACAGTGCGTTATTCTAAACGAAACTAAATTTTTTCGTTAGAATTAAATACCTGTGCACAAGGCACCAAATTTTTACTTGGACACGGCCAAGATATAAATCCCGATTCCCGATTCTGCGACTTTCGATATTTTTCTCTCGCACTTTATTTCTTTAGGGGGAATAGGGGATACATGGAAGAAAAATCTCTTAGAGAATTCCAAATTTCGTGTCCAAGTAAAAATTTGGTGCCTTGTGCACAGGTATTTAATTCTAACGAAAAAATTTAGTTTAGAATAACGCACTGTCATCCGCGATTTGGCTCTTATTGCCTATCTTATATATGTTAAATTTATATTTATATATTACAGAGCCTAGTTAAACTCTTAATTTATACACGCTGGCTTAAAGGCGTTTATTTACCAACATTAATATATATAACAGAGAAAAGTATAGAATCGAAAGGATCTGAATAGCTCAGTTGGAAGAGCAGTCGCCCGGCAAGCGAAAGGTCTCGGGTTTTTTCTCGACTTTCGGATTATATTCTCTCGCACTTTATTTCTTTAGGGGGAATAGGGGATACATGGAATTAAAAATCTCTTGTAGAGATTATTCCAATTTTATATCTTGGCCGTGTCCAAGTAAAAATTTGGTGCCTTGTGCACAGGTATTTAATTCTAACGAAAAAATTTAGTTTCGTTTAGAATAACGCACTGTCATCCGCGATTTAGCTCTTATTGCCTATCTTATATATTTAAATTTATATTTATATATTACAGATAGTTAAACTCTTAATTACACGCTTTAAGGCGTTTATACATTAATATTATAACAGAGAAAAGTAAGATCGAAAATCTGAATAGCTCAGTTGGAAGTAGTCGCCCGGCAAGCGAACTCGACAGGTATTTATTCTAACGCACTTTATTTCTTTAGTTAGGAATTAAAAATCTGTTGTAGAGATTATTCCAATTTTATATCTTGGCCGTGTCCAAGTAAAAATTTACAGGTATTTAATTCTAACGAAAAAATTTAGTTAAATAACGCACTGTCATCCGCGATTTGGCTCTTATTGCCTATCTTATATATGTTAAATTTATATTTATATATTACAGAGCCTAGTTAAACTCTTAATATATACACGCTGAAAGGCGTTTATTTAAACATTAATATATATAACAGAGAAAAGTATAGAATCGAAAGGATCTGAATAGCTCAGTTGGAAGAGAGTCGCCCGGCAAGCGAAAGGTCTCGGGTTCGATTCCCGATTCTGCGACTTTCGGATCTATATTTTTCTCTCGCACTTTATTTCTTTAGGGGGAATAGGGGATACATGGAATTAAAAATCTCTTGTAGAGATTATTCCAATTTTATATCTTGGCCGTGTCCAAGTAAAAATTTGGTGCCTTGTGCACAGGTATTTAATTCTAACGAAAAAATTTAGTTTCGTTTAGAATAACGCACTGTCATCCGCGATTTGGCTCTTATTGCCTATCTTATATATGTTAAATTTATATTTATATATTACAGAGCCTAGTTAAACTCTTAATTTATACACGCTGGCTTAAAGGCGTTTATTTACCAACATTAATATATATAACAGAGAAAAGTATAGAATCGAAAGGATCTGAATAGCTCAGTTGGAAGAGCAGTCGCCCGGCAAGCGAAAGGTCTCGGGTTCGATTCCCGATTCTGCGACTTTCGGATCTATATTTTTCTCTCGCACTTTATTTCTTTAGGGGGAATAGGGGATACATGGAATTAAAAATCTCTTGTAGAGATTATTCCAATTTTATATCTTGGCCGTGTCCAAGTAAAAATTTGGTGCCTTGTGCACAGGTATTTAATTCTAACGAAAAAATTTAGTTTCGTTTAGAATAACGCACTGTCATCCGCGATTTGGCTCTTATTGCCTATCTTATATATGTTAAATTTATATTTATATATTACAGAGCCTAGTTAAACTCTTAATTTATACACGCTGGCTTAAAGGCGTTTATTTACCAACATTAATATATATAACAGAGAAAAGTATAGAATCGAAAGGATCTGAATAGCTCAGTTGGAAGAGCAGTCGCCCGGCAAGCGAAAGGTCTCGGGTTCGATTCCCGATTCTGCGACTTTCGGATCTATATTTTTCTCTCGCACTTTATTTCTTTAGGGGGAATAGGGGATACATGGAATTAAAAATCTCTTGTAGAGATTATTCCAATTTTATATCTTGGCCGTGTCCAAGTAAAAATTTGGTGCCTTGTGCACAGGTATTTAATTCTAACGAAAAAATTTAGTTTCGTTTAGAATAACGCACTGTCATCCGCGATTTGGCTCTTATTGCCTATCTTATATATGTTAAATTTATATTTATATATTACAGAGCCTAGTTAAACTCTTAATTTATTTCTATGTATTTTCAATCATTTTATACAATACCATACACTATTTATTTGTTTTCTTAATTCACAGGTTAGATTGCTGGCTGAGATATTACTTACAATAAATAAGGGACGAGGTTTGTGTAATTTGTATAGTATAGTATTTTTCTTTTTAAGTTACATATTTTTAAATTTTAAGTAGATTACAAACTTTTGTCTTTCTTTATTTCAACTTTTTCATTTTTTTCATCTCATTATCATTTTTATTTGTTTCTTATTTTATATTTTATATTTTATTTCAATATGTTTCGTTTAGCGAAAAGGCGCAGTCGCAAGCCTTTTCATTTATTATCTACAGTTCATCGTCGTCGTTTAGAAAAATTAGAAAGAGATGCGCGTAATGAATTTCTACAGGAGAATTTAAAGATTGCCAGTGCTAGAGTTGATTCAGACTTTGTTGATGAAGGTCAAATTCTTGCGGAATCTAGTCAACCAGGAAATGAGGAAATTGCATTTTATTCTAATGCATCATCTGATGATATGCAGTTTGATGAGGCATCAAGTTCTTCAGATGCTGCTAAATCTACTTCAGATAGTGATGATGCATTAGATACTGAGCCTCAAAATACTCGCGATAATTTTCAAGAACGCCTTGCTGAAGTCTTCGTACGTAGTAATATATCTCATGCGCAAGCAAATGCTGTTTTACAGGTAGTTCGAACACATCCCTGTTTATCCACATTGCCAAAAGATTGTAGAACGCTTTTAAAAACTCCACGGATCACGCATCTCACATTTAACATTGCAGGAGGTGAATATCTTCATTTAGGGTTTGAGGCAGGAATTCTTTCCATTCTTGAGCAAACTTCTCCGGATCTGATTCCACTTGACACTTTAATGATAGACTTTAGTACAGATGGTGCGACATTAGATTGGCAGGGCAAAATTCAAATGTGGCCGATACAAATTAGAATTGCAAATATTCCGCGAAGTAAACCTGAAATTGTAGGTCTTTGGCGAGGTACATCGAAACCAAATAGCGCGAAAGAATTATTTCAGAATTTTGTAGATGAAGTTCGAGATGTATTAAATCGTGAAGGAATTGCTTTCCGTAATCAACTAAAAATAGTTCAATTAAGATGTTTCATAGCTGATTCTCCTGCGCGAGCTTTTGTTTTGGGTCATAAAGGTCACGGTAGTCTATTTCCGTGTTCAAAATGTTGGATTCGGGGAAATTGGCTTCGTCGTGGATGCGTAGCTTATCGTGGTATTCAGCATAGGCCCCGTACAGACGAAGAATACAGAAATAACATTGATGGAGAACATCATACTGAATCAGAATCTGCTCTGCTTCCTTTAGAGATGGGATTGGTAACTCAAACGGTTTTCGATTACATGCATACTGTATGTCTTAGTGTTGTTCCCAAAATAAATAGTGTTCTCGTCGATGGAAAATATAATCCAACTTTAAAACTTTCTGCTAGATCACTTGAAATTATGACTGCACGTCTACAACAAGTTGCGAATTACATCCCTAAGGAATTTTCACGAAAACCGCAATTAATGAAAAAATATGGAGGGTTTAAGGCCACGGAAAATCGTCAACTTCTTCTATATACTGCCCCAGTTATTTATTACGGACTTATAAATCCTACTGCATACAAACATTTTCTTTTATTACATTCCGCAATTCGAGTTTTGCTTAGTTCTTCCTTATCAGAAGACCGTCTTGATTTTGCATCTACAGCATTAAACATTTTTGTAAATAGAGCAGAAGATATATATGGTCCAGAATTTCTCTCATACATTACTCATTGCCTTTTACATCTCGTAGATGACGTTAGACGTTTTGGTTCATTAAATGAATTGTCTATGTTTCCATACGAAAACAATATGATGTATTTCCGCAAAGCTTGCCGTAAACCTCATCAACATTTGCAACAGATTGTAAATAGGCGACATGAAAATTTACAAATCACACAAAAAATTGTGAATGATCACAATAAAGTCATACATTCCGGTAGACCTTGGGTTAGTCCTACAGTTTTTAATGTTCCCTTAGATAGTCGCCAGTTTCAGATCTTAGACACAGGAAAATTTCGTCTATCAGTAAAGGATCGGGATAATACAATAATATTAAAAAATTCAAAGGTTTGTCTTGTTCAGAGCATCATTTTCTTGCGTGATCATTATCATTTAGCGGTTAAAGAGTTTTGTAGAGTTGAAGATTTTTATGATATTGGTTTGTCATTGTCATCATCAGTAGGTACCTTTCGATGTTCTTTATTATCTGATGAAATTATTATAATAGATTTGAATGAAGTGCAGAATAAGTGTTTCCGTATACCTTATTGGCACACTGAAGGGCATATAGATCCTATTACTGATGTCTGGGTAGTTGCAGTTATTCTACATACTATGGATTAGGAACATCATTAGGTAGATTAGAAATATCAGTTCTAATTTCAGTAGGTGCATTCTCTCTAAGGCCTTTAAATCCATACATTAACTCTTACTACAACGTACAAACAAAAACGGAACATAGTTTTACGATTTTTCTTGTCGATTCAAGTTTATATGCGGGTTTAAATTTACGATCAATGAATGTAACGTAATGCATTAATTATGGAAGAACATGTGCGGAGAGTTTTTTTAAAGATGAGTCAAGAGCGAGGACGAGGAAGAGGAAAAGGAATGAACACCGAAGGGAAGACAGCGTCTGCATTGCAATTATTAAACAAGAACATCGAAAAATACCGCACAAAACACATACACAAACCTAACATAACTACACTTCACAAAAATACACAAAAACAAGCAGCCTCAGCATCATCCAAGTATCATTCACAATCTCCAGTATCATCATCCTTGCATGTTCCATCACCATCATTCTCATCACAACACTCAAATAAACACATGCCTCCTCCATCAGCACCATTACAACATAGATCCATTGTATCACATTCACCTTCAGTAACCACTCAATTATCCGCACAAGACATTATACCAGTACAACGCAAACAAACATTATCACGCTCGTCTTCATCAGCATCTATACAATCATTCACGCAAAAAGTCCAGCCATCATTCAAACCACCATCACAACAAACAAACAGTAAACAAACATTGTCACGCTCGTCTTCATCAGCATCTATACAATCATTCACGCAAAACATCCAATCATTATTCAAACCACTATCACAACAAATAAACAGGAAACAAACACAATCAGGATCATTTGTTCATGATGTACGCAGCCATCGCCTGTCCACACATAGAGAAGAATTGATAAAAGAAAAGGAAATAATGCAGTCTCTAAAGTAAGTTTTAAAAATAATTACAATAAAAATAGTCATTTATGTGCACGAATAAAGGCATTAAATTTCATTTTAGAATCATTATGGATCAACTACGTCGAATGGAAGAACGACAAATTTCTATAGAAAATAAAACCGAGTAAGTATATTAATGATTTTATTAAAGAATAGCAAGCAAAACTGAATACTTATAAATACATTAATTACATAATTTTATTTTTTTACAGTGAAAATGCAAAAACTATAAAAAGATTATTAAAAGAATCTACAATAAAGAGACCAACAAAGCCACAGGAGGTCTCATTTAAAACTGTGGATGATTTCTTGGCCTTCGAAGAAGTTGATGAAGAAATTTATAATGATTTGGTAAGGATATATTTTGAAATATAATATTTTCTAACACAAATATATATAGTAATTTTTCACTTTATCAAAAATTTTGTATTAGGTGAGATACTTCATTTATCTTGGACGAGCCAATCCAATAGATTGCGCCGCGGAATATTTTCGCAGCGTATTTCCAGAAGACGAGGAGGTTTCATCACACCTCACTCTAAATAGAAAAAGTGGACAACGAGGGGGCTGTAAATTGCGGGACAGTCGCTTCGCTCAGGCATGTCAAGGTTTGTAAAAATACTGTCAGTGTATGATGTGCATGTGTCCTACATTAATTACGTTTACACGTCAAACTTAATTGAATTTAGTAACTTCCGTTTTGAGGTAGGCTAATCACAGTCATTCTTCTAAAAAATAAAACGGCTGTCATTGACCAACCTTATATGTCGTCTACAATGGGACTTTAAGAAAGAAATTTAAGATTTAAAAAATTGACTAATATTCATTATTCTTCTCTAAAGTCAATTGCAATTGGTTAATTTCTTAAATTTTAAATCTTAAAATCCTATTGTAGATGACGCATTAGAACAACTAGGATGTTATTAAATTTGATTAAAGATGACGTAAATGTAATTATTATGGGTCGTAAAAATAAAAATGATCATGACCTTATACTTCAATTTTTTAAAGCAAATTCTGAAAGATATATGATTGTAATAATCATATGTATAACTTTAAGAATTTGCTCCAAAAAATTGAAGTATTTATCAAGTTAATTTTTATTAATACGCGGGGGGGGGTCATTGAATACAAAACTAAAGTGTTTTTTGTCTATATTTTTTCAGATGCCATGAATTCAAACAAATATTTTATTAATCCCAACAACGTCGAATTTTATGACGCCCTGGAAAAGGCTTTAAAAAGTCTTAAAACCAGAAAATGGCGTTACAATAAGAAACGACGCCAAGAAAATGAGGAGGACGTCCCACCAAATCGACGCCGCCGAATAGACAACGAAGATGAGGTCTGTGTTTCTTATTTTTACTTTTACTTTTTTATTTTTTTTAGTTGATAATTCTTCCAATGTAAAGAAAAAAAGATAAACTTTGAACCAGTGCAACTAGTTCTAAAAAGAATAAACTTTATGATTACAGAAAACTACAGAATTTGAAGATATCGTGGAGACTGAGCAGGAGATCGATGATGACGAAAACTTAGAGAACGATTCACTTGGTGGCCACGATGAACTAACAGAGACTCAACACACGGAGGAAACTGAGGAGATTGAAGATACGGAGGACGCTCTCTGGTAAAAATATTTATATTTTCAAAATTTCATTAATTTAGGAATTTTACAATTCATCTATATATATAAGCACCGTCTGTCTGTCTGTCTGTCTGTACGCGAACTACTTCCGCATTTGTGGACCGATTTTCTCGAAATTGGTACCAAAATGTTGCAAATTTTTCGGGGGTGGCTGCTGTGGAGTTTTTTTTTTAATTTTTTTATTTTTATTTTTTTTCCTCAGAGGAGGGTATGTTTTTGCGAAAAAAATCTTTTTTTGCAATATTTCTGAACACATGGTATCAAAATGTTGCAAAATTTTTGGAGATAGCGACGATGCGATTTTTTCAAGTGTAACACCTCCACCCACGCATCCACCCACGCATCCACCCACACGCATGCGCATTTATGGACCAATTTTCACGAAATTAGTACCAAAATGTTGCAAATTTTTCTGAGAAAACTGGTGTTTTATTTTTTTAAGTTTACGCCTCCACCCACGCACCCACCCACGCAATCGTATATTTATGAACCGATTTTTTTTAAATTGGTACCAAAATGTTGCAAATTTTTTGAAGATGACGACGATGTGGTTTTTTCAATTGTTACACCTCCACCCACGCATTCACCCACGCGCGTGCGCATTTATGGACCAATTTTTACGAAATTGGTACAAAAATGTTGCAAATTTTTTTGAGAAAGCTGCTGTGTGGTTTTTTAAAGTTTTATCCCACCCACGCATTCACCCACGCATTCACACATTTATTCACAGACTTTTTCGAAATTTGTACTCAAATTTTGTTGGGGATGGCTACTATGATTTTAACAAATTTTTATCATCCTATTTATCCACCCACGCACCCATGCGCATACGCATTTATTGACTTGGTCACACCAATAAGTAATTTTAAAAAAATTTGTGTACATGTTTGTGATTGCAAAAATTTGCAACATTTTGGTACTAATTTCGTGAAAATTGCATACAAATTAAAGGTTTATTTACACGAATTGCACACATAATCACAAATACGTACACAAATTTTTTAAAAATTACTTCTTGGTGTGACCAAGTCAATAAATGCGTATGCAAATGGGTGCATGGGTGCGTGGGTGGATGAATAGGATGATAAAAATTTGTTAAAATCATAGTAGCCATCTCCAACAAAATTTAACTACAAATTTCAAAAAAGTATGTGAATAAATGTGTGAATGCGTGGGTGCATGCGTAGGTGGGATAAAACTTAAAAAAACCACACAGCAGCTTTCTCAGAAAAATTTGCAACATTTTGGTACTAATTTCGTGAAACTTGGTCCATAAATGCGCATGCGTGTGGGTGGATGCGTGGGTGGAGGTGTAACACTTGAAAAAACCACATCGTCGCCAAAAATTTGCAACATTTTGGTACCAATTTTTTAAAAAATCCGTTCATAAATATGCGATTGTGTGGGTGGATGCGTGGGTGGAAGCGTAAACTTAAAAAACCCCACACACATACAGAGAGAGAGAGAGAGAGAGAGAGAGAGCGTGTGTCTTAAAGAAAGAGGGAGGGAGAGAGATAAGGAGAGAGAGAGCATGTGTCTTAAAGAGAGAGAGAGAGAGCGCGTGTGTTTTAGAGTGAGAGAGAGAAAAAGCGTGTCTTAAAAAAAGAAAATAAAATATCTGGGAGAAAGAAATAGATAACATAGTAGTCATCCACAAAAAAATTTAAACATTTATTTTGGTATAAATTTCGTGAAAGTCGAACAACAAATGTGGAAGTAGTTCGCGGTAATACAAAAAAAGAATTAATTTTTTGTGTTAAAACGGATTTAATATAGACTATATGAGGACCGCGCAAAGCGCGGTCCGAATAGAAAGGCTGGCTTTGAGGACCGAGCGAAGCGCGGTCCGAAAAGCTAGTAATTAATTAATAATAAATTCTGAAAAATTATTACAAAAAATTTAGATTTTTAAAACGTTTTTGAGGAAATTATAAAAAAAAAATTTAAGGAATATTTAACATTTATATGTATACATGTAAAAAATTTTTATAAAATTTATAATATGCAAAATAATTCAATACTATTGTCAGAATATTTATGGATAATTTTAAAGTGTTCTATTTAATATATATATATATATTATATATTGTTATATTGTATTATATATGTTCTATTTAATATATATATATATTATATATATATATATATATATATATATATATATATATATATATTAAATAGAACACTTTAAAATTATCCATAAATATTCTGACAATAGTATTGAATTATTTTGCATATTATAAATTTTATAAAAATTTTTTACATGTATACATATAAATGTTAAATATTCCTTAAAATTTTTTTTATAATTTCCTCAAAAATGTTTTAAAAATCTAAATTTTTTGTAATAATTTTTCAGAATTTATTATTAATTAATAATGATATCACTGGTGTTTTTGCTATGGGGGAAATATTACAAAATGTAATTAAAAAATAGGGTGAAATGTATGATGTTTTTACATTTTACCCTATTTTTTTATTACATTTTGTAATATTTCCCCCATAGCAAAAACACCAGTGATATCATAGCGATATATTCTGGATGTCATTAACGATATGCGAATGTCCGCTTGTATTACAAGTGTAATGTCACAATGATATCTGAAAATATCGGAAATATTTTCACAATAAGCAACGTTCTGCTCTGTCTTTGAATGTATTTCATTTATTATTTATAGCGATACAAAAAAATCCAAAAGCGTCATTTTATCTTTAATTTCCATTGAATAATGATGTATTAACGTAAATCGCATTATTTCGTTCTATTTTTATATCTATATAGCAAAAAATAAAGATATAATATAATATTAACATTAATTTATATCTCTATATAAATATTATGAAATGCATTCAAAGATAGGACAAAATATAACCCCCATAGCAAAAACACCAGTGATATCATAGTGATATGTTCTAGATGTCATTAACGATATGCGAATGTCCGCTTGTGTCACAATGATATCATTGTGACATTACACTTATTGTGATAAAGCGGACATTCGCATATCGTTAATGACATCTAGAACATATCACTATGATATTACTGGTGTTTTTGCTATGGGGGTTATATTTTGTCCTATCTTTGAATGCATTTCATAATATTTATATAGAGATATAAATTAATGTTAATATTATATTATATCTTTATTTTTTGCTATATAGATAAAAAAATAGAATCAAATAATGCGATTTACGTTAATATACATTATTATTCAATGGAAATTAAAGATAAAATGACGCTTTTGGATTTTTTTTGTATCGCTATAAATAATAAATGAAATACATTCAAAGACAGAGCAGGACGTTGCTTATTGTGAAAATATTTCCGATATTTTCAGATATTCTGATTTTACGCAATCTTTAGGAGAATTCTGACAATTTTTATTTTTCACCAGGGATGAGGATAACATCGCTGAAGAAATCCATGAAGATGCTGAAATGGAAAATTACGTGGATGACGATAAGATCCAAGAGGACACAGAACGCGTAGACGATATGGAAGTACTGAAGTACTTAACAGAAAGTAATGTATGGTCAACATAATATTTTTTTAAGTACTTTAGAGAAGCAGTATCAAATTTGGGACGTGCTTCACAGGGATCGGCGGGGAGGGGCCGTTCTCACCTCTAATTTATTTGTTTTCTGTTTCAGGTAAAGCCTTGTGTCCACGATCCGAGAATTCGGTCCGAGAAGTTTGTAGCCAATAAAATAGCCGCTTTTCTGTAAAAGCTGCAAATTGATTGGTTACAAACTTCTCGGTCCGAATTCTCGGATGTGGACACAAGGCTTAAGATATGGAGGGGCAAATTTTTTGGTTGTGCCTCACAGGAAAAGGCGGGGATGGGGCCTTTTCCCCAAAAACAAAATAATAATAGGAAAAATTAATAAACCTGAAAAATAGGCCAGATAACGAGCAAAAAATTTTTTTAGATGTAGAAATAATTAAAACTTATTTATTTGTATTATAAAAGTATGATGAAGTTCAATTATTTCTACATCTAAAAAAATTTTTTGCTCGTTATCTGGCCTATTTTTTAGGTTTATTAATTTTAAATTATACACGAGCGTTTTGTTATTTTTATGGTTTTTTTATAATAATAGGACTTAAATAAGATCGAGTACACTGAAAAAAAAATTTTGTTAGATTAACAAAAATTCTGTTCGAAAATGGACGAAACGAAATTCTGGTTGAATCTACCAGAATTCCTTTTAATACAACAAATATCTTATTTGCACCAATAAACTGATTTGTTGTACAAACAAGATGCTTGTTGCATTAAAAGGAATTCTGGTAGATGCTTGTTGCATTAAAAGGAATTCTGGTAGATGCTTGTTGCATTAAAAGGAATTCTGGTAGATTCAACCAGTAATTCCGTTTCGTCCATTTTCGAACAGAATTTTTGTTAATCCAACAAAATTTTTTTTCCAGTGTAGGATTTTCTTGTTACAAGTAGTTTCAGCGGTAATAGTTTAATTTATAATTTAATTAAAATAAATGTACTTTGCGTTTATAATTGATATATTAGTTATTAAACATGTATTGTACATATATTATATATATAATTTTTTTTTATACATATACATTATTACATCATTGTAACATAAAATACGCATATATATATTTATAACTTTTTAAAAAATTATATGTATTTTTTATATGAGATAAATAAATAATTGTTTTTTAATTATAAAATTGATTTTACTTTTTTTTTTAATTATAAAATAATAATAAAAAGAAAAGGGGAAGAAGAGGAAGAAGCGTGTACGAAAATCCTTTTTTGTACTGGAACTGTACTGATGTTGTACTGGTATCGTACTGATACCATACTAGTATTATAAGAGTACAGCGTATGATAAAATTTTATTTCAATATACAGTGGTGATACAGTGGCGCTACAGTAGCCGTACCGCGTACTAATACGGTGTATTGGTAATGTACTCCTACGGTACGCACGTACGTGATAGGTACCGTACTGATACATAAAATACGACGTACGCTCTCCGTACCGGTACCGTGGAAGTATTTTGTTATCTGGGTCTCATTTGAGTGGAACTAAAATTGTCGATAATTACCGACAATTTTAATTTCGCTATTATCGACAGTAATATATATATATGTCAAAAAGCCATTTTAGTATGTTCAATATATTGAAATCAGACAACATAATATATTTTTACTGTCGAATCATCTCGCACACGCATCTAAGCGTGTCAATGACAGTAAAACATACATATATAAATGTGTCTCTTTATGACATAGTTGAACACAATTTCAATATTGCTCTTTTATATATTTTGATGATATATGTAGTATGGTATATAGTAAGTATGCATATTTTCATGTATTTTTCAAAGGAAATATACAATCTACCATATATATTGTAACCGTGGATTTATTTTAGTCCGTCGGATTGATAATGATCCGAGAAATAGGGCCGATGTAAGTGGCCGACGGCACACCTTCGGTGCGGAAAGCGGGAAATTCGCGTAGATACCGAAAATTATGTTTAATTGGGCGCCAGGCGCGAGATTCGCGCCACTCTGAAAATTTACAAATCGACAGATGACCTTTATAATCCGTAAATCATCCCGAAAATTTCCGCGATGGCGATAATCGACTCGCTCAGATCGTCAGGGGGTAGAGGGGGGAGTTCGGACGTGAGAGAGAACGGACTTCGAGATAGGCTATTTAAAATCGCTCAAATGTAACAAGCATTGAATATATTTGAACAATGGTGAACAAAGATAGACAAAAAAATAATTGTATAAAAACTTGAGTGAAATGTTATGTCAAGAAGGAAAAATCAATATTCTCTCGATAAACTACAGATGGAAATCCGTTTTAGTGACGCCGAAATACAAATAAGCGAGACCGTAACTTGATTCGGACAATACAATACGGCGTATTTACGGCCGAGACGCGTTGTTATTATTCCGCGCCTTTGAGACGACCCGACGCGGTGATATCGGCCGACACGCGGGACCCGGAAGTAAATTCGCACGCCTACGTGTCGAATAATTATTAACGCACGAGACTTAATACGGTCCGTGCGACGTAATTGATTCTAATGATTTTAGGCAATACAAAATTTCCGTAAACTGTAGTAGGTCCCGCGCGACTTCCTTTGAGATCGATCACGCCGGTCGTCTCTCGCACAAGGTTACAAAGAATCGGAAGAATACTCGAATAATGGTATGCGCGAGAAAGAATACGCTACATTTCTCATACGTGACTATAGACCAGGCAGTATACGAAAAGCTTTAAACTCTAATAGACGAGAAACGACACAAGAATTACGAGACGAGACTTTATTCTACATTAATGTAACGAAATCGCGGCGACTGTCGGCGTATCCGCGGGAGAGAGAGCCTCTCTTAATAAGCGCGCGGGAGAGAGCACGCAGTCGGCCGGGCGCCGGGATAAATTCCACGCGGAATGAATCTCTAAATTAAACCTCTCGTAATATCGCAAAATGACACCGGTGAATATCTAATAACCGGCCGCGGCCGTGACACGCGTCTCTCCCGAATACGTTACTCACAAAAAAAAAGAATTTAGCGGCTTTACAAAATTATAGGGCCGTTCGTCTCACCGGTATCGGTGGGTCCTTCGATGCTTCGGCATCCGCACGCAGGAACCTCTGTTCTCGATCACGCTCCGCCAGACAGTGACGAGCAAGAGGCCTGCCGGGATCACGCTGATAATAAATTGGGCATTTTCCACCCGTGGCGCTCCTTATCCTGGCAGGGCCGCCGGGTGCCCCGCGGGGCCCTGCAAATTTGCTTGAGGAAAATCTCTCTCGCCGTTCCTCTGTGCTTCCGCCTCGGGTTCCGTTGTTCCTCTTTATTTTTCGTCGAGGAGACTCCTACGAGCGCGCCTCTTTGCTGTTCCTCCAAAAATCTGCCAGATCGATTGTTTGATCGATTGTGAACTTTCGTATATCCGAATAGGCTGAGACGCAAGGCAGTGTGTCTCCCGCGCCTCTCGTTTCCGGGGCTCTCTCGCCTCTCGCGAGAGAGTGGCCATCCCCGTCTCTTACCGGAATCTCTGCGAAAGAAGGAACATTTATTGACGGTATCCCGGTTCTTAACGGGAGGAGCAATCCAGAAAATCTGTGTGAGAATAATATTTACCGGGCGTGATCCGGACGTGGTAGCCCCTGCTCGGTCCGAAATCGTCCTCTTCGTTCTCTCCGTCCTCTCACTTTCTCTCTCTCTCTCTTGGTTTCTCCGGTTGAGACACGTACCCTATGCAAAATTGCTCGCCAAAAACGCAAAATCGCTTAAACAAAAATTATAAAAAAAGTAAGTCGCGGAACGGATGCGCGGGGCGCATCCTCCTACGCGGAAGAAAACGCAAAAATTATTTTTCGGGTGCTCTCTCTCTCTCTCAAAAGTTGGCGAGAGAGCAAAGGTTCCCGAATTTCTCGCCTTCCCGGCCGGGCCTTCGGCCCTTGTGACGGACAGTAAAAAATGTCACGTCACAATATATATATATATATATACAAGGTGGTTCAAAAGTCCGGCAACGGTCAATTATGTCCAAGAAATAGTGGTCTTATGAATAAAATATAAAAATTGCAGGGTTCAACACGGGAAAAATTTTTTATATATAATTATATCTAAATAATTATATAATTATACATAATTATATGTGAAATATATTCATTTTATATATAATTAAATTTATTTATATATAAATTATGAAGTTCTAGTGTAATTTTTTTCTTTAGCCTTCAATGTTTCGTATGTACAGCCAGATAGACTGTCGTACACTCGAAGCTTGGTGCCGTCAAAAGAAATACATCGCCAGTGATTACTGCAATTTCCTCCAATAATTTGTAAGCTTTTGTCGTTACAACTTGCTTCAATTATATGAGGATATAAAATATCTTTTTTTAATAAGTAGAACGCACATGCAAATCGTTCTGGGAGAAGATATTTTAGAAACAATTAGCAGGTAATACTTCATCTCGATAAGACTCGAATTCATCGAAAAGTAATTTTATCAATCTGTCTGCATTATAATTGATTGATCTGAGACATTCCACAAAAGTACCTATAATAATAATAATAATAATAGTATTTTATTTTAGTAAAATATATGTATATCTTCATTTTATATAAATACAAAAATTGTATTGCCATGATATCTACATTTAATTACATTTTATGCAAACAATTTTATTTCTTAGGAAACAGAATTTTTGCACTAAAAGAGATTCTGTTAAATTGATGATTTAAAAAAAGTGCGTGATTGATATAATTTTTTTACAAATAATGTAAGAATTTATACCTTCATAATTATTCAACAACACTTCTCCAACTTCGCGTAAAATCCTAAGTCTTTCGTCTATAAGTGGAATTATAGTTTTGCCATCGTCACTTTGTAAAATATGCTCAAACTCACTTTTATTCACTTTTATTATTTTTGTGTAATAATTAGGATTCCATAGAGGTTTTTCTTTCTCCTGCAAACATTGTACATTATCAATTACGGGGTTCCTTAACACCGTCTTGTTTTATCGGTAAAACATTATTTTTACGCACTTTTTTCTTTCTATTGGATGAATAGTAAATGCTTCTCCACGATTAAAGTACATATAAAAGCAAAGCGTAAACCTACCGATATTATATTAAAAACAAAAAAATGTTTTCATTTTTTAATAAAAACTTTTTCTTAAATCAGTACATTCGAGCTTTGTGTCTATACATATATACTTCAATTGTGGAAAAAGAGAA